ACACCAGCGTAAAACAGCAGCATAACACTGCTGTCTTTTGTTTGGTGAAAACAGAGGACCGGAGGTCCGTTATCAAGACATTCCATCTTAGAGCTCAGGAGTGACAACGAATCTGTATTTCTATTTTTGATTGAGGTTGAAAACGTGGATCGTGTGCTCGTTTGTCACCATGACAGCTGTAAAAATACTATTCAGAAATAAGGCTGTAAAAGATCACGGTTTCAAATATTTACATTTATACCAACTTTTTAAATCGGCTTGCGAACAATCTCGTCGAGGAGAACGTAAGCCTTCCTCAAACACTGAAATTCCATTTATACGTAATCCCCTTAAGGCCTTAAGCTATAAAGTGTTCATCATTTTATATTTTAACCCCCCGCTACGTCTGTGTCGTACTTATGCTTTTTTTAATAAAACTAAAATGACTAACAACTTGCAGTCCGATTTATAAGCGGATATTGCAATCCATGGACACTTGCAGCAAACACTAATAATTAAAAATGCTGTTAATTTGAAGTCAACTAATGTACCTTTTATTTTCAGGAGCCAATATAAATAGCCATATAAAAATTATATGTAATAAGCCAATACAGATATTTATCAGCCACAATTGCGTGATTTGAATAAAGATATTTAATTGGTCCAATATTAGGCGACTGTTAATCCGCTTACTAGACGTAATACAATATAATAGAAGACCTTTATACCCATGGGTTAGTTAAGACTCGGGCTTTATGCGCCAATATGAAAATAATAAATATTCAACATCGGCTCTGTAGTGCAGTGGTAAACGCTTGGCGGCGCGGCGCAAAGAAAGCTACAGATGGTTGTCACCTCTGAGTACTAAGATGGAAGACCTCTCTATCTGTAGTTAAACTGGCGCTCTATACCCGTCAGAAGGGCACAGCAGTGCAATGCAAGCACAGCTGTTTGCTGGCAGAAGTAGGTAAGAGGGTGGTTCGTACGCAGACCGACTTCTAGACAGAAAAAAAATTCCAACACTGTGCCGTCCTACCACCTGTACTGGTGCTGGTAACACTTCCAATATTTCCGTTACCCGCTAAAATAAGGATGTAATGTTTGCGACAATCTTCTGATGACGGATTCAAACCCACGACCTTTTAGTTTCATTCCTTAATCATTATACTGACACTAACTTGTCGCATTTTCTTTTTCTGTAATAAGAACACTATTACAGTGGGTATCATTTTTAAACGTATTAAAAAAGTGCGAAGGTTCTATATTCGACGCTTAGGTTTTTATGTATGTTCACCGATTGTTTGGAATCAACGATTGTTTGTTATTCCTCGGTCCAATATAATTGTACGCGCCAAACGCTAATTTCAAGAATCGCCAGGGGGCGCGCAGCGCGGTGATTTCCTATTGGCTGACGTTCGCGCGAGATCGGATTGGTTGCTTGAGGGGCGGGTCGGAAGTGATTGAATGTAGTGCAGTCACTAGCACGGCGTGAGGTCGTCCGGTATAACCTCTATTAGTGTCGGTTTGTTAGCAAATTTATGCAACGACGAGGAGTTTGTGGAGTCTAGAAAAATAGACGCCGGGTCGATTAATTGCTTGGAAGTTAATGTTTAATTGTACCGTCGCGTTAAGTGCCTTTTGTGTGTTGTCTATGTAGTTTTTTTGCGTGCCAGCTAGGCTGACTTTGAATCTTAATGCGGGCGTAGTATTTAATATCATACGAAGGAATTTAGTTTGTCGGTTGTAACGCTGAACTTCGTGGCTTGAGAAGAGACCGCGTTCTTGTTCGTAGTTATAATCTTGTTGCTACGTGAAATGGAAGTGATCTTTGATCCACCGTTCATTAATCATGCCGTTTTTGATTACGATTAATGGGGATTTAGTTGAGTTTGAAGTTAATTAAATGTACAATAAAGTTGATAAACTGAAATAGTGAAATGAAGACAGAAGTTGTCAATTGGTGATCGCCCCCTTTTGAGAGATCTCACCTTTGGAGTAGAGGCAGCGCCTGTGGATCTGCGGTCAGACTTCAACGGTCCAGTCAGGTCAAACTTTATACACACCACTAAACCACCTAGCTGCGGCCTGACCGAGCCTTGGGGCAGTCTTCGCCTCGGAACCAGGTACGTCCTATTTATTTACCTAGCCCCATCTCTATTGTGTAGGTCAATTGTCCATAGGCATTTCGAGCCCCACCCTTAGTTGTCCGTCGAGTCTACAGCTGTATGGGCCCCTGTATGGTCGAACTTGGTTGGGGCAGCTAGGGGCGTGTACAATAACTTTATAAAAGAAATCCATCTTTAAAGGTAAAAAATAGGGAATGAATATTTTAATGTAACTTTTTTCTGCAACATTTTAGTTGTTACCTTGAACTTGTGTCACTCCTTAGAACACTTAAAAGGGTAAAGTATTAAACGTTTAGTAAATAGTACAAATCGACATGAAAGCTGAAAATTTAAAATTTTATTATTGACCAGCGGTCCGCCCTGGCTTCGCACGGGTGATTACTGAATCTCGACAATAGCGCCACCTACCGGGCAGAAAAGTGAATCTAAACCATTTAGGGACCCATACAAACATGCACAAAAAATTTCATCAAAATCGGTCCAACCTTTTTGAGTTTTAGCGAGACTAACGGACAGCAATTTATTTTTATTGTAGAGAGATTAGTCACTCAATAATTTTTGAATTTAATTTGACACTTAACATTTTTAATATATTTGACAAAATACAAACAATACGACTGTACCCGAAAGTGACTTACTTAACGCAATATATTCCTAGGTTACATAAAATCTTTAGTAATAAATTATGTACAATATAAATCCTACTCAAACAAGCCTTTAATAACAATCACTAACGTTTCCCATTAATTTAAACTTTTTTTTTATAGGATAAGGGTGACAAACGAGCACACAGTCCACCTGATGGTAAGTGGTTACTGCGGCCCATAGACATCTATATCTATCCTCGTTTGCGAATCAAAATGCAGATGCGTTGCCACCCGTGAGGACTAAGATGGAATGCCTCATTTCCAGTAAAAAGGGCCTCCGGCCACCTGCACTCACCAAGCGAAACGCAGAGGTAAACCTCTACTTCACGCTGGTATTCTGTGAGGTCGTGGTACCACCCCGGTTCGAGCCGACACCATGCGTGCGACAGCAAAAGCTTACAGATACAAATATTAGACAAAGTACAAAATAAATAGAAAGTTGAATTTTTTACCTTAGCCTTGATTTAAAGTTTGGTATCGAGAGCTTAGAAATTATAAAAATAGTCAACTTCTATAACACGAATAAATTATAACCTGACTGAATGCAAAACTGAAACAAAATAACCATTTTATTCATACAACTGTAATTTTTAATTTGTTCACGTTGTATTATATTCTATGAATAAATTTTATCTGATGATTGAAAAATCAGCCCTTAATGTGAACATATTCAGTCTTATTCCAAAAAAATGTTTTAGTACTGGGTTAAGTTTAGGAGTAAGAAGTCCAGGTTTGTTACAATATTCTAGTTAATACCAGCACTAAAACGTGTGCTTATTACAAAACGCAGACTACCCGAGGACCAGTTAATACCAACGTTAATATTATATTAAATATCATTCACAGATAAAAAACAAAAAATGACACTCTATCATTCGTTCATACAGGTTTCATTCAATGCAACGTTCGGTTTCATAAAATATTAATATTATTTTCACACTTAATTATGCTTAAATAATTATCCATCAATACAAAAACATATCATACATTGTTATTTGTTTACGTTAAAATCTATTGAACAAGCACGACATATACTTTTGACGCGCTTTTGATTATATCAAGTTGTTTTCAGTTTAACAACTCTAGCGTGAAACGTAGTGAATTACAGAGGTAACGCGAGCGCGGGATTCGAGACGTTCAAAATAGTTTATATTGCAGCCTTATAATAAGTAAATTAAATTATTAATAATTAATTAAGTACTTGCTATTACAGTTATATTTATATAATAATGGAACAAAAGAAAAAACGGGGTGAAAATTGGAGTTCTGAAGAAAAAGTTAGTGAAATATCGAAATTTATTTGTCAGTACGTACCAATACTCTTATCCTCCTATTATCCTTATTTCAACTAAAAGGAATGTTCTTATTATTATAGGAAATATTACGTTCACTTATTTCACAATCAGCACATATAATAGAGAATAAGTCGACAAAAACATCGGTATATATTCAAAAAATAAAAGAGTGGAAGAATATAACTAATAAGTAAGTACTTATCGCATTTGTTATGTGTACAAATAGGTACGGTATTGTTTACGTGATTTCGTATTTTTTTTTTAGATTTAATGAGATAACAGGTAAACGCCGATCAGATGGTGAATTGAAATTATCTTGGAAAAGAATGAAGTTGTGTGCTAAATCAAACTTATACACATATAGGAGGGAACAATCAAAGACCGGGGGTGGCGGAAAACCTCCATCACCTTCTCTTGAGGACTTGGAAATAATGTCCATTGCCCCTCACGACTTTATCGTTGAAGTTAATAATTATGATAGTGATGCAGTGGTAAATAAAATTACTTACATGTCTTACAAATTTAATTAAAATTAAAGAACTTTATTTTCCATTACTTTAGTACCTAGGTAGTGCTCTGAAATCTACTCTTAAAGCATACAATTTACAATCCAAAATTATTTTCCGAATATTCAAAATTTAATATACTTAGTAACAATTTAACATAAATTTCTTTATAATTAATTATATTCAAAATTGAAATGTCACAAATTAATATATAGTGGTCTACATAATATCATAACACACATGTTACTAGATTATCTACACAGTCCGATTATAATTTTCTATTTTTGTCTATTAGGTATTATAATTAATAATTTATTAAATTACCTTTTGTCTTGGATCATAATAATATTTCTACAACATAGAAAATACCTGATTCAATAAAGGGCAAAATAGAGGTGACAGGTGACAGGAAAACATGTTAATAAATGTTTTAACGATTTATTTTAGGATCCAGTGGCTGTGGCTACAACATCAAAAGAAGTTGCTGACCCTAAGCCTCGCCTTAATTTTGAAAAAACAGACACAGCTATAGTTAAAAATGTAGAAAATCCAGAACCCAATGTTGTATATGTGCAAGGTAAATAATACTGATTGAATATTTATTAAAAATATATTATTATTATAGTTACAATCATAGGCATACAAGTTTGTAAATATTATAAATGTTAATTTTCTAAAACTGTTATATTTATATTAATTTTTAGAGATAGATCCAACTACAGATACAGAAGAAAGTGCCAAAATGGTGAAAATAACCAACAATAAAGATATTATTACTAGGGGTATAACAAAAATTAAAAACAGGAAACTTAGCTTGCAAAATAGGTATGTTGAAAAAATTACATAGTCTGATACATTACATACTTTTTAAAATGTGAAAATTAGTATTTAAACACTGAAAATTGTTTCATGTTTTCAAATATTAAAAGCAAAGTTTAATATGAATTGATTTAAAAATAATTAAAAAATATTTCTTTAATTGGTGTACAAGGTTAAGTGCACTTTTATTACTCTAGAATACTTTGTAAATGTCTAAAATAACTACAAAACTTACATTAAGTATTCCATTTCATTTTACAGAAGAGAAGATGTACACCAAACAATTGTAAAAAGTAACACAGATTTTAAAAAAAGACAACTGGAAATGATGGAAGAGGAACATAAATACAATATTAAAATAGCTAACCTAAAAATTAGAAAATTAGAGTTACAAATATCTTTATTAGAAAGTCAGAAAAACAAAAGTTAAATAGCAGCTTAATGCTGCTGTGTTTATTATGGTGAGTTTATAGAACGAGAATAGAATAGAATGATTTTTATTAAATATAGATTATTACAGAATACTTATTGAAAGACATTTTTTATTTACCACTGGTTCGGAAAATACCTCAGTCCTGGGAAGAACTAGTAAGAAACCCAGTGGGACTTTTTTATAAACATATTTCTCTTAACAATAATTTTATTTGTACAATTTTTAAATGAATTTTAATAGAACCACCATGGTGGCGATCACCTCAATTCCAGTATTTCCAATATTTTCATTTATGTATTCTTTGATATTATAATAACCTTTTTATAAAATTTTTCTTTAATAAAACATTTAAACTTATTTATTGACAAATTTTGGATAAATTTTTGTACAAATTTTGTATGAGAGAGACCTCTTTTACAGGAAACGAGGCATTCCATCTTACTCCACACGGGTGACAACGCATCTGCATTTTGATTTGTAGTCGAGGATAGATGTGGACGTCTATGCACCACAGCAGTTACTTAACATCAGATGGACTGTGTGTGTGTGTGGTAGACTGTGTTTATCACCATTATCCTATAAAAAAAAAACTAAATATTTGAGACTATATCAGATACATGTTTGTAAATATCCTCATATATGAAACTATTATTTTCAGGTACTTAATTGCTGCAAATATTTGTACATCTTTTAATAATAATTAAAATAAATAATTATAATTAATATGCATTTTATTTACATAACAATGAAATATAATATACAATAGTAAAAAACTATAATAAAAAAAACTAAACCTATTTACTTAGTTATCATACAGTCCTACTCCCCGTGGACCCTTGCACCTCTGGAAAGGAAATCCGGCTGTGAATGTAGAGGAGGGACGATATTTATTAAAAAATCTAAACATATCTCTACAGCACTTAAATCTTTATATAATATAGCTTCATATTGATGTGGAATGTGCTGTACCCCGTATCTTTCCCTGAAACAATCATTTATAGCCTAAATAAAAGCATTTTGCTCAATAAATGAAATATTATCACAATACTCCCCTGAATTTATTTCATATTGGTGAATATGTAGTCGTTATTCTTTGACAGCTGACAACGGCTCTGCAGAAATATTTTCCTTTATAAATGGGTATTATGTCTGAAATCAAAAAGAAATATTATTATAATTGTCTTATACATTTATTGATCTTTAATGTAATTTTATAGCCAAAATTGGCCTCTGAATAACAAAATAAAATAAATTATATATACATAGATTTAGACAATTGAAAAAAATTTGACAATTTTATAAATATAATTATAAATTTTAATTATAAATAGTTATATAAATATGTAAAAAAAAATGTTTACCTACTGAAAATGAGTTTCAATAAACTGTCTTCTAATATTTCCCCTTATTGATGGTGTAACATATCTTTGTACTATAGGTTCAGATGAATATTGTTCAATGCTATCTCTCTCACCAGAAAACACATCTTCTCTCATGTCGATGGCCATATTGTGTAGTACAGCACATGCAACAATTGTTTTTTTGCTGTTTCAATATCTCCAAACATACCTCTTAATAGGCAACAAAACCGTTGCTTCCACAAACCAAAACATCTTTCCACTGTGTTCCTGGTACGGATATGGCTCCTATTATATCTTTCTTCTTGTGGTGTTGTGGGGTTCAGCAGCGGTGTAAATAGGTAAGGAGTACAAGGATAGCCACTGTCACCAAGTAATATTCCAGAGAATGCACCAGCCTCAAACCTCTGTTTTAGTCTACATTCTCGGAATATTCTGGAGTCATGTACACTACCACGCCACCTGGTAACAATGTCCATGATTTTCAGGTCAGCATCACAAACCACCTGTAAAATAAGAGCTCATTAGTACTTTATGTTTTTCTGGTTTATTTTAATATATATTTATTACCATAAGATAGTCAAACAAATTATTTTCTATTATGATAAAGTAAAGCTATTAAGAGACAATCACAGCTATTTAAAATATTTGTATATTACCTGTACATTAATTGAAGAAAATCCTTTTCTATTAATATATAACTGACCCCCATCAGCATTCACTTTCTTTACTCGTATGTGAGTACAGTCAATTGCGCCAATTACTGTAGGAAAATTAGCAATACTGCGAAATTTCCTAATGGTTTCCTGTTGTTCATTTAAAGTAGTAGGCATTTTAATAAATTCTCGGGAATTCCGTGACAAAATTTCCGCTACTTTTTTACATGTCCTACTGACTACTGGTTGAGACACACTATGTAAATTAGCTGTATCGTCTTGAATCTACGAATAAAACAATAATATGTATTATTTGGCTTTTTATCTAGCGTAATGTTAGGTACATTGACCCCACCAAGATTATAAACAGCACTTACTTCATGGCGAGCCCAGTTGCGTAATGCACAAACCACTTGAATTTCAGGACTCAATGGGCACCCTCGAGGGTCGTGCACTAAATCCTCACGTAAGGTACCCACTATTTTTTCTCCGAAACGTTTTGAGAACCTATACTTATACCTAAAATCTTCGTCACTCAATTCAAACGGATTCACACGATGTCGATGTCTATCAGGTCGCCGAGTGGTCTCCAGCATGTCCAAATCTTCTAAATCCATCAAGTCAATCATGTTAATATCCATTTTTAACGATTTTAATAACACCAAATGAAAACAACGCTCACCTCAAATTAAGAAGTACCGAAATTGAGGTTAGTATAGAGTACCACAAACTATATAGAAAGGTTAGTACCATAGCTAAACTAGGGGTCTCGAAAGATTAACTTTAATACCATAGATAATCCTTGAACCAGAGATAATCTTCGTTTTGTAATAACGTTTTTCTTAGTTTATGGTTTAAATATATTACTAACTCCAGTACTATATTAAGTCCGTGTTTTGGAATAAGGCGGCTAATATTAAGCCCTTATTACGAATTATTATTGTTTGGTTCTTCTGCCAGTTATCGTGTAACTTCTGAACAACTTGACCGATTGAGGTCATATTCTCGCAATAGCTTTGTTCTCTCGAGATGATGGTTCATAGATATGCTGGGATCCGATAGGTTGAGCTACAGTTAAGTTATTAACGAATTCTATACTTATGGATCAAAATAATTTATATTTAAAATACACGTTGGTTTGGTGTTGACAACAACATAAAAGAATTGTTTTCTGAACGAAAAGTAGTTTGATTGACATTATACATTTGACGGCTCCGTGGCGTAGTGGCTTAGCTTAGTGAGTTGCAACGCTTGGGGTCGCGGGTTCGAATCCCGCACGGAACAAGTATTTGTATGGCCTACAAATAATTGTCCCGGGTCTGGATGTTTGTCCTTGTGCATTATATGTTTGTAAACTGCCTCCACGATACAGGAGAAAACCCTTGTGTGGAGGTAACGTTTTTTAAAAAAAATATAAAACGTCATAGTGCAGTCTATCGAACAACTCTCTTGATTGTCCTGATAAGTTAACATACGTATATTGTATCAATAACTTGATAAAGCTTAATATGGCATAAAGTGTCTTTGTCCTTTCAACCCTAGCCCTGTCACTATTATAGTCTTGCTATTATTGTGTTCAGTGCATGCAGGTATAACCCATGCATCGAACATTTGGTGCAAAAAAGAAAATAATGTGGTAGAGTCACGCTGCAGCTATATTATGGTTGTAGCACGGATGTATTGGCTCGACTGGGAAAGGACAACGCTCTCACAGAAAACAAGCGTGAAATAGCAGCTTAATGCTGATGCGTTTTGTATGGTGAATTTAGATAACCGGAGACTACTGGAAACGAAGCATTTCATCTTAGTCCTCATGGGTGACAACGCTAGATTAATCAAGGATAGATGTATATGTCTAAGAGCCACTGCATTCACTTACCATCAAATAGACTCGTTTGTCACCCTTATTCTATATAGAAAATAAACGAGACAGAACACAAGTGGTGCTCTAGCCTAGTTATTAATAAATTCATACGCATCGTGCTACCTACTGGAATGGGCAGTACAATGTCTGCCTGGCCATTTATTTTTACCGCTACCGTTACAGCTTTTCCACTTCTTGTCCACGTCAAAATTGGTAAAACCATTAGCAAGATACTCAGATCTCACACTCATAAGCGTAAAGCTTTTGTCAACACTCAATAATACTCTACTACTGTATATACTCTGTATTCCGTCCCTATACATGTATAGCCGGCAATCCACTCCACTACCATCTCGAGACGGCAAAGCCGGCCTTGCTCTTTCTGACCGAGACGCAGGTTTCCTCTCCGGCTGATATTTCGTATCTCTCCTACCCGGGGTACAAATTGGAGCACTCCTTTGTGCCTCGGGCTGGAGTTTGCGTGTATGTCAGAGAGGACATCTGTTCTCGACGCCTCGGCAGTCTTGAAGGTTCGAACCTGTCCATCCTTTGGCTACGCGTAGACAGCGACGACCATCCGCGCGTCTACGGGTGCCTCTATAGGTCCCATAGCGGAAATGCCGAAACAGACCGACTCATCGACCACGTCCAAATGGCTATAGATTCCTTGCTACAACAGGTCCCAACCGCAGAGATCGTGATCCTTGGCGATTTTAACGCCCACCATGCCGAATGGCTCGGTTTACGTCTAACCGATCATGCGAGGAGATCTGTTTATGACTTTGCCTTGGCATATGGTCTGACACAACTGGTTACTTCGCCTACGCGGATTCCAGATGTGGAGGATCATACACCTTCCCTGTTGGACCTTCTGCTGACCTCTCATCCGGACGGATATCAGGTTTCCGTCGATGCCCCTCTTGGCTCTTCGGACCATTGTCTGATCCGAAGTGTGGTGCCACTCACGCTCCCCTCGCAGTTGCGTTCTGCAGGTTGTCGCCGTGTTTGGCATTACAGGTCGGCGGATTGGGATGGAATGCGGTCTTTCTTTGCATCCTACCCATGGGGGCGGGTTTGCTTCTAGCCGGATGATCCCAGCGCTGTTGCTGACTCTGTCACTGATGTGGTGCTACAGGGAATGTAACTATTTATTCCATCATCTGTGGTACCCATCGGAGGCAGATCTCAGCCTTGGTTTGGTCGCTCCTGTAAGACTGCATTACGCAGTAATTTAATTAAATTTTTTAAGTAAATTTAATTACTGATATACAAATTTATCAATTTTTAGAAAATGGTATAAGAGGAGGGCTATCTCAATGCTCGTTAAGGTATGCAAAGGCTAATAACAAATACTTACCAAATTTTAATGAAGAAGATCCAAATTCTTTCTTAGTTTACTTAGATTAGAGTGTTATCAAGCCTGGGCTGCGGCTTCGGCGACTCGGGATGTAAACACCAGCACACTTAAAAAGAAGTATTACTTCGCCTCCAGGTCCTTCAAAAGAGTTATTGCCAAGGCAAAGTCAGAGCACATAGGCAGAATTGGCGAGAAACTAGTTCGCCTTCCTTCGGGAACCCGTACATTCTGGTCTCTCGCCAAGGCTGTCCAAGGGAATTTCTGTAAGCCATCACTACCATCTCTGCACAGGGAGGACGACTCACTGGCCCAAGACGCAAAAGACAAAGCTGACCTTTTAGGCTCCCTTTTTGCGTCCAACTCGACTCTTGATTACGGGGGGAAAACACCGCCGACCATCCCGCGGTGTGAGTGCCTCATGCCGGATGTGCTGTTCTTACAGCGCTCGGTTCGCAAAGCACTTCTCTCCCTGGACATCCAGAAGTC